AGAGAATTTCACTCGCGGTCACTTTTTAGCCCTCGTCGAGGGCTTTGAGTGTAACCGACAGTTTTTCCTAAAGGTCAAGCCATTGTCCTAAACTTATGCAAAAAATTAGCCAGATATACTGAGCTTAAGTACCCTAAAGTCTGCGTTGAAATGACCCTCTGTTTTTCCCATAAAATACAAAGATTATATAGGGAAATACAACTGGTCAGTTTTGACCGCTTTACGAAGTTTTCCCAGATATGCCGAGTTTTTTGTGACACCCCTAGGTGTTCTTCTACCACCTCACAAAATATCAAGGGGGGTCGTCGGAGGAAATTTTTTTTCGTAATAGAGCTCATATAAAGAGAATTTCACTCGCGGTCACTTTTTAGCCCTCGTCGAGGGCTTTGAGTGTAACCGACAGTTTTCCTTAAAGGTCAAGCCATTGACCTAGGAGCATGCAAAAAATTAGCCAGATATACTGAGCTTAAGTACCCTAAAGTCTGCGTTGAAATGACCCTCTGTTTTTCCCATAAAATACAAAGATTATATAGGGAAATACAACTGGTCAGTTTTGACCGCTTTACGAAGTTTTCCCAGATATGCCGAGTTTTTTGTGACACCCCTAGGTGTTCTTCTACCACCTCACAAAATATCAAGGGGGGTCGTCGGAGGAAATTTTTTTTCGTAATAGAGCTCATATAAAGAGAATTTCACTCGCGGTCACTTTTTAGCCCTCGTCGAGGGCTTTGAGTCAAACCGACAGTTTTCCCTAATGGTCAAGCCATTCACCTAAGAGTATGCAAAAAATTAGTCAGATATACTGAGTTTAAGTACCCTAAAGTCTGCGTTGAAAAGACCCTCTGTTTTTCCCATAAAATACAAAGATTATATAGGGAAATACAACTGGTCAGTTTTGACCCCTTTACGAAGTTTTCCCAGATATGCCGAGTTTTTTGTGACACCCCAAGGTGTTCTCCTACCACCTCACAAAATTTCAAGGGGGGTCGTCGGAGGAATTTTTTTTTTTCGTAATAGAGCTCATATAAAGAGAATTTCACTCGCGGTCACTTTTTAGCCCTCGTCGAGGGCTTTGAGTGTAACCGACAGTTTTCCCTAAAGGTCAAGCCATTGATCTAGGAGCATGCAAAAAATTAGCCAGATATACTGAGTTTAAGTACCCTAAAGTCTGCGTTGAAAAGACCCTCTGTTTTTCCCATAAAATACAAAGATTATATAGGGAAATACAACTGGTCAGTTTTGACCCCTTTACGAAGTTTTCCCAGATATGCCGAGTTTTTTGTGACACCCCAAGGTGTTCTCCTACCACCTCACAAAATTTCAAGGGGGGTCGTCGGAGGAATTTTTTTTTCGTAATAGAGCTCATATAAAGAGAATTTCACTCGCGGTCACTTTTTAGCCCTCGTCGAGGGCTTTGAGTGTAACCGACAGTTTTCCCTAAAGGTCAAGCCATTGATCTAGGAGCATGCAAAAAATTAGCCAGATATACTGAGTTTAAGTACCCTAAAGTCTGCGTTGAAAAGACCCTCTGTTTTTCCCATAAAATACAAAGATTATATAGGGAAATACAACTGGTCAGTTTTGACCCCTTTACGAAGTTTTCCCAGATATGCCGAGTTTTTTGTGACACCCCAAGGTGTTCTCCTACCACCTCACAAAATTTCAAGGGGGGTCGTCGGAGGAATTTTTTTTTCGTAATAGAGCTCATATAAAGAGAATTTCACTCGCGGTCACTTTTTAGCCCTCGTCGAGGGCATTGAGTGTAACCGACAGTTTTCCCTAAAGGTCAAGCCATTTACCTATAAGCATGCCAAAACTGAGCTAGATGTAATGAGGGTAAGTGCCATAAAATCCGTTTTGAAATGACCCTCTGTTTTCCCCATAAAATACAAAGATTATATAGGGAAATACGACTGGTCAGTTTTGACCCATTTCCCGATTTTTCCCGGACATGGCGAGTTTTTTGTGACACCCCAAGGCGTTCTCCTACCACCTCACAAAATATCAAGGGGGGTCGTCGGAGGAATTTTTTTTTCGAAATAGAGCTCATATAAAGAGAATTTCACTCGCGGTCACTTTTTAGCCCTCGTCGAGGGCTTTGAGTGTAACCGACAGTTTTCCCTAAAGGTCAAGCCATTTACCTATAAGCATGCCAAAAGTGAGCCAGATGTAAAGAGGGTCAGTGCCATAAAATCCGTTTTGAAATGACCCTCTGTTTTCCCCATAAAATACAAAGATTATATAGGGAAATACGACTGGTCAGTTTTGACCCATTTCCCGATTTTTCCCGGACATGGCGAGTTTTTTGTGACACCCCAAGGCGTTCTCCTACCACCTTACAAAATATCAAGGGGGGTCGTCGGAGGAAATTTTTTTTTCGTAATAGAGCTCATATGAAGAGAATTGCACTCGCGGTCACTTTTTAGCCCTCGTCGAGGGCTTTGAGTGTAACCGACAGTTTTCCCTACAGGTCAAGCCATTGACCTAGGAGCATGCAAAAAATTAGCCAGATATACTGAGCTTAAGTATCCTAAAGTCTGCGTTGAAATGACCCTCTGTTTTTCCCATAAAATACAAAGATTATATAGGGAAATACAACTGGTCAGTTTTGACCCCTTTACGAAGTTTTCCCAGATATGCCGAGTTTTTTGTGACACCCCAAGGTGTTCTCCTACCACCTCACAAAATTTCAAGGGGGGTCGTCGGAGGAATTTTTTTTTCGCAATAGAGCTCATATAAAGAGAATTTCACTCGCGGTCACTTTTTAGCCCTCGTCGAGGGCTTTGAGTCAAACCGACAGTTTTCCCTAAAGGTCAAGCCATTCACCTAAGAGTATGCAAAAAATTAGTCAGATATACTGAGTTTAAGTACCCTAAAGTCTGCGTTGAAATGACCCTCTGTTTTTCCCATAAAATACAAAGATTATATAGGGAAATACAACTGGTCAGTTTTGACCCCTTTACGAAGTTTTCCCAGATATGCCGAGTTTTTTGTGACACCCCAAGGTGTTCTCCTACCACCTCACAAAATTTCAAGGGGGGTCGTCGGAGGAATTTTTTTTTCGTAATAGAGCTCATATAAAGAGAATTTCACTCGCGGTCACTTTTTAGCCCTCGTCGAGGGCTTTGAGTGTAACCGACAGTTTTCCCTAAAGGTCAAGCCATTGACCTAGGAGCATGCAAAAAATTAGCCATATATACTGAGCTTAAGTACCCTAAAGTCTGCGTTGAAATGGCCCTCTGTTTTTCCCATAAAATACAAAGATTATATAGGGAAATACAACTGGTCAGTTTTGACCCCTTTACGAAGTTTTCCCAGATATGCCGAGTTTTTTGTGACACCCCAAGGTGTTCTCCTACCACCTCACAAAATTTCAAGGGGGGTCGTCGGAGGAATTTTTTTTTCGAAATATAGCCCATATAAGGCGCCGGTCAGTCGAGGTCAGTTTTGACCCCCTGTCCGTAGACTTTTTGCCGAACCGTCACCGGCCCTCGTGTTCTATCGCCATAAGGCACCTTCGTGCCAAATTTGACGCGCCTGCGGCGCCGGGAAGTGCCCTATCGGGCACCCGACCACTTTGCTTTATATATATAGATTAGCAATAAAATGTTACATTTTCACATCAATAAAGTTACAAAATTCCCAAAAAAATAGGTTTAAAAAAAAGAAAAATTAATAAATAAATTAAATAAAAAACATTAACAATCTATTCACAAAAATCATAATCATGATTTATCAATCAACGATTTATTCATATTTAATAAACAGATTAAGATGTATAGCTGCTTTATTTCAATTTCTCTCACAAGTGTACACATTTACAAAGCATTGAGTGTTAAACAGTAACCTTGTAATAAATAATTTTATTGTTTATATCGTGCATGCATTATTGTGTTACACAGTGGCGTAGCGAGGTCGGGTGTCACCCGGTGCGGCACTTAATGGTGTCTCCCCCCAAAGGCGTAGCGACCCTTCCCGGGGACAAATTTTCGATTTGCACCCCTCCTCAAACTTTCGATTTGCACAACCCCCCCCCCCCCCCCCCTCAAACTTTCGATTTGCACCCCCCCCCCCCCCTCAAGTTTATCTTTATATATTTTGCTATTTTTTGCCTTGGTGTCACCCCCCTAAATGGTGTCACCCGGTGCGGTCCGCACCCCCGCCCCCCCCCCCTCTCGCTACGCCTCTGGTGTTACACATCCTAGCACACATGAACGAAACTTATTGCTACAAAATACATTCACACAATGATATAACATCTCATACAGCGCAATGAATATTTTAATAATACAGGATAAAACTATTTTTATCTGAACACTTTGTGTGCCAATATTTATCTAATCTACCCAACAAACCCCCGCCTTCTAATACATTCGGCATTAGTATCTTCAGGATTCATTTACTCTTCATTACCCTTACCATTTATCCATCAAACCCCCCGCCGTTTTTAAATCTACAGGATTTGTTAACTCTTTGGTGCATTTTTTTATTAACTCACGAATTATCGCCCACTAACTTTTTAATACCCTTATCGTTAACCCTTTTAAATCTTCAGTGTCTTCGGTGTCTTTTTCATTAACCCACAAATCATCGACCACTTAAATGTTAGCATTTGTCAACTTTTTAATACCCTTAGCATTAACCCTTTTAAATCTCCAGGAGGTTTTAACTCTTCGGTGCCTTTTTCATTAACCCACACATCTCTAATACCCTTATCATTAACCCTTTAAATCTACATAATGTTTTAACCCTTGGGTACCACTTTCATTAACCCACACATCTTTAATACCCTTATCATTAACCCTTTTAAATCTCCAGGATGTTTTAACTCTTTGGTACCACTTTCATTAACCCACAAATCTTTAATACTCTTATAATTAACCCTTTTAAATATCCAGAAGGTTTTAACTCTTGGGTACCACTTTCATTAAACCCACAAATCATCGCCCACTAAAATCGTCAGGATTCATCAAATCTTTAGTACCCTTATCATTAACCCTTTAAATCTTTAAACCCTTGGGTGCCACTTTCCACCGTGGCTCTGTCTTGGTGTCGACCCTGACTGCCCGCACTCTCTCGTCTACCCCGGGGTACCTGGTCATGACGTCATCCACCGTGGACGGGACGGTGCAGGTCTTCCATGTGTCCTCGGGGCACTGTCGGTAGTGGTGTAGGACGGCATCGCCTGGGGGGACCCGCACACTGTGGGGGAGACATGGAGTATGGAGGCTTGATGGTGTAGGCGGAGTAGAGGAGGGCGACTCTAAGTGTGTGGGTGTTGTGTGCGTGTGTTTATGTGTAAACTCATAAATAATGTGCCTGGAACGTTACATAATTTAATGAAAAAACAATGACTAAAATCCTCTACGTATCAGGAAATTGATTATTTCCAAAAGACTTCTGTCTGTGTGATAACTCGGACGTATAAAATTACAATAGTGGGAAATTAAGCTCCACCCTCCTCCCACTAAACGTTGATTAAATGGCAAAACTTGCTGTCAATGGTAGGACTTACTTTTTAATAAAATGGTAGGACTTACTTTTTAATAAAATGGTAGGACATACTTTTTGATAAAATGGTAGGACATACTTTTTGATAAAATGGTAGGACTTACTTTTTGATGAAATGGTAAAACTTACTTTTTGATGAAATGGTAGGACTTACTTTTTGATGAAAAGGTAAAACTTACTTTTTGATGAAATGGCAAAACTTACTTTTTGATGAAATGGCAAAACTTACTTTTTGATGAAATGGTAGGACTTACTTTTTGATGAAATGGCAAAACTTACTTTTTGATGAAATGGCAAAACTTACTTTTTGATGAAATGGCAAAACTTACTTTTTGTATGGAGGTATGACGTACACAGCATGTGTGACAGACGTGACGACACGGTTCGACAGATATACGTACTTGTAACACTCCCACCTGGGCACCGTTGTTTTCCTGAGAAATTTTACAGGTAAATTATTGTTTGGGTACTACAGGTAAATTATTGTTTGGGTACTGCAGGTTAATTATTCGTTGGGTACTATAGGTTAATTATTGTTTGGGTACTACAGGTTAATTATTGTTTGGCTACTACAGGTTAATTATTGTTTGGGTACTACAGGTTAATTATTGTTTGGGTACTACAGGTATATTATTGTTTGGGTACTACAGGTTAATTATTGTTTGGGTACTACCGGTTAATTATTGTTTGGGTACTACAGGTTAATTATTGTTTGGGTATTACAGGTTAATTATTGTTTGGGTATTACAGGTTAATTATTGTTTGGGTATTACAGGTAAATTATTGTTAGGTACTACAGGTAAATTATTGTTTGGGTACCACGGGCAAATTACTGTTTGGGTACCACGGGTAAATTTTTGGGTACTACAGGTTAATTATTGTTTGGGTACTGCAGGTTTATTATTGTTTGGATATTACAGGTAAATCTTTAATTCTTCGGGTAGCTATTTGTTTGAAGATTATAGATAAATATTTCTTTGAATAATACAACAGGTAAACATTTGATTTAATTCAACTTGTAACCATTTGGTATTGTTACAGTTTTTTTTACTTTAAAAAAGTATAAGAAAGTCGCTTTAAAAAAAGTATAAATGAAATTGGTTATCAAAAGTTATCTTAACTTAAATTAAGCCTGAGTGTTGACTTTCTGTTCAAGTAGGGGCGGGGGCGGAAATCATTTTCCCAATTTCCTACACGACTTTTGAGTGACATTTAAAGTAGGGTCTGTATGTTAAAAGTGGTTCGAGCGGATATTGTAAATATTTCAGTATGAGACCACATGACTATGTATAAGCTGATAGCAGTTCCAGTGAATACTGTATTGCATACCTGAGCCGGTACCGATAACGTTTTATTTATTTTTAAATTTTCTTATCGAAGCTTTATTAAAGCGGTGAAAGCCATGTCAAATTAGTAACTGATAAAGGCTGTTGGCTGTTGATGTTTAGGGGAATTCCTAGTTGAAGTCAACACGTTTAAATAATGTTGGTATAACTGGTGCCACCCGGATTACTAAATATATTACCGAATTGGAAAAAAAATACTGTCACTGTATTGTGTAATCATATTTAAAATGTCATTCGTAAACCTATCTGTCTAGTGATAACCCTACGCTTAACCTGACTAGTCTATGACTTAACTGTCTAGTCGAAACCACACCTGTCTAGTCTACAACTCACATGTCTAATTTACAATTCACCTGTCTAGTGTACACCTCACATGTCTTGTCTACAACTCATCTGTCTAGTCCACACCACACATGTCTAGTCCACACCTCACCTGTCTAGTCTACACCTAACCTGTCTAGTCTACACATCACCTGTCTAGTCTACACCTCACCTGTCTAGTCCACACCTCACCTGTCTAGTCCACACCTCACCTGTCTACACCTCACCTGTCTAGTCCACACCTCACCTGTCTAGTCCACACCTCGCCTGTCTAGTCCACACCTCACCTGTCTAGTCCACACCTCACGTGCCTTGTACACACCTCACCTGTCTAGTTCACACCTCACCTGTCTACACCTCACCTGTCTAGTCCACACCTCACCTGTCTAGTCCACACCTCACCTGTCTAGTCCACACCTCACCTGTCTAGTCCACACCTCACCTGCCTTGTCCACACCTCACCTGCCTTGTCCACACCTCACCTGTCTAGTCCACACCTCACCTGTCTACACCTCACCTGTCTAGTCCACACCTCACCTGACAGTCCATACCTCACCTGTCTAGTCCACACCTCACCTGTCTAGTCCACACCTCACCTGTCTAGTCCATACCTCACCTGTCTAGTCCACACCTCACCTGTCTACACCTCACATGTCTAGTCCATACATCACCTGTCTAGTCTATACCTCACCTGTCTAGTCCATACCTCACCTGTAACGTTTGATCATAAGATCCTCCTCGGGGTTAGTTGGCTCCCAGGTTGTGATGAAAAACTCCGTGTCTAGTCCCTACCTCACCTGTAACGTTTGATCATGAGATCCTCCTCTGGGTTAGTTGGCTCCCAGGTCGTGATGAAAAACTCCGTGTCTAGTCCCTACCTCACCTGTAACGTTTGATCATAAGATCCTCCTCTGGGTTAGTTGGCTCCCAGGTCGTGATGAAAAACTCCGTGTCTAGTCCCTACCTCACCTGTAACGTTTGATCATGAGATCCTCCTCTGGGTTAGTTGGCTCCCAGGTCGTGATGAAAAACTCCGTGTCTAGTCCCTACCTCACCTGTAACGTTTGATCATGAGATCCTCCTCTGGGTTAGTTGGCTCCCAGGTCGTGATGAAAAACTCCGTGTCTAGTCCCTACCTCACCTGTAACGTTTGATCATGAGATCCTCCTCTGGGTTAGTTGGCTCCCAGGTCGTGATGAAAAACTCCGTGTCTAGTCCCTACCTCACCTGTAACGTTTGATCATGAGATCCTCCTCTGGGTTAGTTGGCTCCCAGGTTGTGATGAAAAACTCCGTGTCTAGTCCCTACCTCACCTGTAACGTTTGATCATGAGATCCTCCTCTGGGTTAGTTGGCTCCCAGGTGGTGATGAAAAACTCCGTGTCTAGTCCCTACCTCACCTGTAACGTTTGATCATGAGATCCTCCTCTGGGTTAGTTGGCTCCCAGGTGGTGATGAAAAACTCCGTGTCTAGTCCCTACCTCACCTGTAACGTTTGATCATGAGATCCTCCTCTGGGTTAGTTGGCTCCCAGGTGGTGATGAAAAACTCCGTGTGGAAGAAAAATGAGGCGGCGTCTGGGTGCTTGGCCGTTTGGTGCTGGTGGAGGGTGGGGTGGGGGGGGGACGACATACATAAGTTTTAACATCGCTTTATCTATACCAGTTTACTTTAGTCCAGGGGGGGGGATAACCACTGTTGTATTAACATCGTTTTGCATTTGATGCTGCTGTGGTACATACTAAGCTGTTAACATCTTTTGACTAATCAGTTTATCCATGTTTACCCCATCTTAATTTTCTCCCACTATTTAAAATAGTTTCATACCTTTTTCCTCATGTTTTACAACCATACTACCATTTTTTATAATTAATTTTTTTAAAAATCTGTTAATAAGCTTCTTTTACACGTTATGAACATGTATCAATCTATTTATTGTATTTCAACTTTCAAAACTATCTTTTACAATCGTATCTTCTACGTAACAAACTTTTTAGTATTTTACCAACTTTCAAAATTATGTTACCATCATTTGCTATTATTTTAACAACATTGTACGCTCTTTTTGATATCTCTTCTACTATATTTTTCCATGTTTGTATCATCCCCTTCCCCTGGTACATTTTTACATCTTTTAAACATCTTTTACACTCTTTTAAACAACATTTGACGCTTTGTTTACTTATATTTTTCATTTTGTCCTATTGATTTCGGCTTTCAAAATACGTAGATAACAAAAAATATTAGCAAGATGATTCCGTTTGAGTTTCGTGCTTGTCGCTTGGTCATTACACATTTCAAGAAATGGATCTCTCGTTGCTTTACTTTGAGAATACTTTTGGTCAATGCTATCCAAAGTAGGATGCGTGCCTCAATTCCTGAGGCATGGACTTCAACAAAAGTTTACAATTTAAATTATACACAAAGTAAATATTAAAATGTGCAATTGTAATATCCGATGATCAATATTTATCAATATATAAATTTATTATATCATTGTTTAGTACTTCTTGACAAATTGCAGGATTGATAAAATGATATTTTATTGAAATAATAAATTAACGTAGTTATTCCCCATTTTGATAATAATAAATCAACAAGGGATACAACTGTAATATTTCAAAAAGTTAATATAGGTTAGAGAAATAATAGAATAAAATAAATAAAAAAGAACATTAATGATTGCTTATGCTATAATATTAGGAAAAAGAAACTTAAAATGTTTTATGATTTTTCTTTAATGTAAATTTTATACTGCACAAAATATAAAACTTGAATTTGACGTTAAAAAGAGGAGTAAACTTTTAGCGGCATAAGTTAGATAAATTGTTAACTTCAGAGTTCTTTGATGTTAGTCTACATTTCATTCGAAATCCACTTATTATTTAAGAAAAACAAAAAATATTTTAACCACTACATCAGTTCATCGCTCGCATGTGTATGTAGGCCTACTTGTTTTAATAAAGAAAAAAAAATGATTTAAAGGAACGGTTAAAAACGTTGTGCTAAACTGATAAGCGATAGAAAATAACACTGTGGGTTCCTGACTCAAAATACAAAACAAGAGGGTTGTGGTTGAGCCAGGCACTAAGTTTTTTTTGGAGGGGGGGGGGGGGGTTATAGGGTGGCGCAGTTGAAATTTGTTTGAAAATACTGAAATGTAAAAGTATATTCGAAAATAATGAGTTATTGTATTCGGTTAATACCTCAGTCATATTAGAGTTACACATCGGCCCAACCTACAATTTTTGTACTATGGTGTAGTGAACGAGTGAAGGGGGATGAGTGGGGGTGAATGTTGCTGTTACTTGGTACCCTATCCCGTTCGTCCTTGTTCAGTTCTCGTGCTGTGTGAGTTGTAATAGTCCGGTTTGTACCAGTTTATGAAAGGCTATATAAGGTGTATGAAAACGTGTGTGATGGCCTCAGTTTTGTCCAGATCTTCAAGGTTAGTACAGGTTAGGTTTATACTAGTTTTTAGCCACTGTATTATAGTTTTACTAGCTTGTGTATTTTGTGTTTAGGCTAGACTGCTATGTGTAGATAGTGTAGATACTATTAAAATCTTTTAGTTTTCAACGAGTCTTTGTTTCATTCAGTCTTGTTTTGTAACCCGTTTGTGGTTGTTTGTCTTATATGTTGTGCCCCCATCGAATAGCCCGAAAGGCGTGTCCGTGTGTTCACAACATATGGTTACTACTTGGGATAATACCTTATAATTATTATCTTTAACACATGCTACCGTGAGCTATGTGATTCACTGGACACTCCCCCCCCCCCCATACACGCAACAATACAGTTCTACGATTGGTCCATAAAAAAGACACAATTTAGCGAATGATTTGTCCACAATATTTATAAACCTCAGCGCACACACATTAAATTTGCCACATGTTCCAAAGACTAGAATAACTTGCTAACCCTGGAAAATCTTCCTAAACTATTTAAACCAGAATCATTGGGGGCTTTATATAATCCCAGCCGTCTAAGAGGCGTAACTAGGGAAGGATGGGTGGGGTGGCCGCCCCCGGCCACGACCAAACGGGGTAGAAAAAACTAAAGGCCTATTTAGCCAAATAACTTGGCTTTACTGGCTTATTTAACACTATGACACTACAATAACCGTTAAGGGAAAGTGAATGGTAAAATTACTTTTCGCTATTTCAATAACTACATATAAACAGAGGGGGGGGGGCAAAATTGATAGTCGCCCGAGGCGCCGCAATTGGTCGCTACGCCTTTACGCATTCTTACACATAGACAAAAACAGGGATGTTATTCAGATATTTGTTAATAAAATGTTTTGGTTGATTGACATAACACGTAATATGTGACACGGAATTTTCCTAAATTGTATACTAAAGCGCATCAAGTCAAAATTTACTGCAGTTAATTTAATTAAGTTAAAAAAAAACCGTAGTCCCATACAAATATGGCTATATATTTATTTTCTAAAAGGTCAGTTTTAAGCTATGCGTTACGAAGCACTTTTAGAAATGTCACATCATGTAAACATTTTTATTCCTTTTAGAATTTTTTTATTAATTTAAAAGTATTCTAATAGATCACAAAATGTTTAAGCAACTATAGATTCTGATGTCTAAAAGATACAACAGCGTTATTTACAAATACAACTAAAGTAGACAATCACTAAACTACAGAACACCATTAACAAACTACCCACTTTGGCATACCTGTAAAAACTGTTTGATGGAAATATTCTCTCGCGGTATAATCAACTCATCAAGGTCATGGCTGATGATGTAATCGTACCCCGCCATCCGCAGACGACACTCGACCACCGCCAGCGTCTCGTCGTGTAGGAACTGTGGCGTCCGTTTGAACGCCTCGCTCAGATTTCTGCCTTCAGGCTCGCCAGGAAGTTCGTACGGCTGGATTTCGATAATCCCTTCGAACTGGTAGAATCGGAAAACGCGGAATATATGGTCTGGGATTCCTAAATTGTATACTAAAATTTTATCGACGCCGAGAATTTTTTGCATCTCCACCCACTCGATAATCTTCTCCGGGTCGAGGGTGTTTCCGTGAAGGATTTTCGCGCAGAGAGCGACGTGTCCGGGTTTTCTGGTCGGGTAGCGTACAGCGAAGTACTGCGTCGTATCAGCGGGGCACGTCGTTGCTGATAACGTCGCGTAGCTGGGCATGTCGTTGGTTGTGGTTTTGTTGTAGATGCAACTGTACTGTCTTAACGTGTTTAGGTTTACGTTAGGTTTAGGTTTTAAAATATCTTTATGGAAGTAGTACTTAGCCGGTGTGACGTGAACTTGAGAACCGGAAGTCCCGGAAATAATACAGCAGACGTAATTGGCCTTGGTTACGTCAAAAGCCGTCAAGACGATTTCGACTTCGTAGACGGGGTTATTCTGAGAATCGAGATGTTCGTTCTTGGGGTGGTGGATGTTGGAGATGGCGGAGTAGATGAAGATGTTTCCATTCGTGTCCTGTTTGAAGTACTTGGTGTTTGATTTCAACACTTGGGGTGGTGCGACTTTTACTTTCTTTGAGTTCAGCTCCGATTCCTGAATGGGGTAGAGAAAATATATTTAAATTTAAAAAAAAAATATGTTCACGATCTTTTTACTTTCTCGTATATACGTAGTATAGAGAAAGTATTGTAATCGTGCAAAAAAAAAAAAATCGAGATTTTTACAAATCTCGACGTTTTACACCTCACTGATACGGAAAAACATAATTTTGCAATCTTGTCCGTATGTCTGTGTGTGTGTGTGTCTGTGTGTGTGTCTGTCCGTGTGTAAACACGATAACTTGAGTACCGTTACAGCTAGGTTGATGAAATTTCATATATAAGTATTTTATCAAAATCGTAGATCCGTATCAACTTTTGAGCGATTTCCGATAACCGGAAGTGGTACTTTTCCTACTTTGAATTTTTTAAAAGCCTATAACTTGAGTACTATTTCAGATAGATAAATGAAATTTCACATCTAAGTAAAAGATCTAATTCACTACCTTCTGTTAAATTTTGAGTAATTTCCGTTGACTGGAAGTAGTAATTTACGCTACTTCCGATTTCTCAAAAAACTAATGTAAATTTTAAAAGTACTAATAATATTGCGCACTATTATGCGCTTTTTTTATTTGCGTTCACTTGGTGTGCAATTAATTTGTCTACGAGATTTTATTCTATTTTTAAAACTTTAAGTATTTAAAATGGATTAAAAATCATGTCTATAGCCCGAGTTTCCATCCCCTGTTATTTTATATAAGAATATTCGAGAAAGTTTAGGGGAGATCACTCCCGGTTTATTTCACTTTATAGAAAGGAACAAACATATTTTTACTTTCTTTGTGAATGTAAGCTTAATACTTAGCTTAGCTGTCAAATGTTTTTAACACTTACCGTAATGGTAAACTGTATTTTGAAGTTTATTATTATAACAGTAAATTTGCGTAAACGCATAATAATAACCATACGAATACTAACCCTTACCTTAACGTAAAATCTCCACACCATACACATGCAGTAAACGTACTAACCCTTACCTGAACGTAAAACCTCCACACCATACACATACAGTAAACGAACTAACCCTTACCTTAACGTAAAACCTCCACACCATACACATACAGTAAACATACTAACCCTTACCTTAACGTAAAACCTCCACACCATACCACCACACACCAACACACACAAGACAGCCGTGAGAAGCTTATGTGGTTGTATCCGACACCTCCATACACGTGCACCGTTCTTCCGTACCTCCATCATTTGCGGAACGAATCCCTTACGGAACGGGAAAAATTTCATGATTACCTTTTGTCGACTAGGTCATACAATTTGTTTTTGTTTGAAGATTCGAGTTGTATTGAATGGTTGATTCATAGCCATATATATAAGCAATAAAATAGGTAGTTACACAACATGTGACATACGCTAGTCAATCGATTTCGCTGTTAGATAAGATTTAACAATTGGAAACACTTTTTCCTTGGGAAACTTGAAGTACAAGGCCCACATTTTTAGCAACCACTCTGGTTCTAGAATCAATTCAGGCTACTTAAAAAGTTAACGTTTTTAAACTTGTCAGTACAAAGTTATTTGTCCCACTCGTCTTATTGATCGTTAGCCAAAAAACACGAAGGAGTGTGCTGGTAGTTTATCATTTTATTGTACTGTGCTTTATGTGATTGGGTCCTATTGTGGAGTAATGTTATTTACATTATCTTTTCCCTCATTGATTTTATGCTGTTTTATAGAGATAGTAAGGCTAGATTGTAACAGCTGGTCTATAGTTTGTTATTTTTTTTTAAATACAAAATTAATCTTTACGCTTTGGTTGACTAAAGTGGTAATACGTATTTTTACTTTCTCGTATATACGAAGTATAGAGAAAGTATTGTAATCGTGCAAAAAAAAAATCGAGATTTTTACAGATCTCGACGTTTTACACCTCACTGATACGGAAAAACATAATTTTGCAATCTTGTCCGTATGTCTGTGTGTGTGTGTGTGTGTCTGTGTGTCTGTGTGTCCGTGTGTAAACACGATAACTTGAGTACCGTTACAGCTAGGTTGATGAAATTTCATATATAAGTATTTAATCAAAATCGTAGATCCGTATCAACTTTTGAGCGATTTCCGATAACCGGAAGTGGTACTTTTCCTACTTTGAATTTTTCAAAAGCCTATAACTTGAGTACTATTTCAGATTTTTAAATGAAATTTCACATGTAAGTAAAAGATCTAATTCTCTACCTTCTGTAAAATTTTGAGTAATTTCCGTTGACTGGAAGTAGTAATTTACGCTACTTCCGATTTCTCAAAAAACTAATGTAAATTTTAAAAGTACTAATAATATTGCGCACTATTATGCGCTTTTTTATTTGGCGTTCACTTGGTGTGCAATTAATTTGTCTACGAGATTTTATTCTATTTTTAAAACTTTAAGTATTTAAAATGGATTAAAAATCATGTCTATAGAACTTGTAAGTTTATCGTTCTTTCTCGCGTTAATTCGTGTCTGGTTAGCCAGGGAGAGATAAAAGTTTTCGAACTAAATCAATTGTTGTGAACGGGGTTTCCTATTGATAACAAAAAACATGGCGGCTATTTGTTAGTAGGTCCCGCTTCAAGATTTCAAAATCATCAAACGTTCCAGAAATGCAACAACTGTAAAAACTTTCAACGCTGTTTTGTTCATATGGATGGGAACAAACACATGTGTATGCATTTTTGAATATAAACGTTTTGTGGCGGTAAGTATATTGATTTTATTTCTTTTGTTGATAGTTTGTCCAAGGCTAGGGGACATTACTCTGACTCTACTCAGTCTTTGCTACGAGACTTAAGATTCCCAGACCTAGACCTAGATCTAGATTCTAGAATCTACCAACTAAGATCTACATTGCTTTAATCTAGTTCTAAGAGTATAAGTTCATGAATTAGAATATATTAGATCTAGATTCTAGATCTAGTATTTTAGTGATCTAGATAAAATATTAAAAATATTAAGAAAAGGATGACGGTAAAAACTAAAACAACAGGAAAATGAAGATGACTTCCAGTCTCAGCCTACGACCTCACTAAATCTAGAATTTACGCAATTATCAATTTAAACATGACCACTGAATAATAGATACTTGTAGGCTAGTCTTGTTAGTCTAGACCAGGGACTATAAAATCTACAATTGATAACTTTCGGCCTTTTAGTATAAGCCTAATTAATACTAATTATTAATGAATTACAGGGTACAAAAATTAATAAATTGGTCAGAGTCAGTATGGTTACAGTTAGCTGTTAATAGAATTAAGTTTTAGATCTATTGACTACAATTTTTAGTTACAAGTAATGAAAATGAAACTAATAGTTTTGTAATAGTTAAGATATGGTTAACTGTAAACCAGATATTTTAGTTTTTAAGACAAGCTAAGTAGATAGAAAACTGAACCTTTACAATAAATTAAACCTTTTATAAATATAATATATATATATATATATATATATATATATATATATATATATATATATATATATATATATATATATATATATATATATATATATATATATATATATATATATATATATATATATATATATATATATATATATATATAATATCTCATATTAGTTAAATAATTATTTTAATATAATATATGGATAAACTTAATAATTTATTATATTTAAATTCCCTAGGTACTTGGCAAGCAATTTTCTCACACTTTACTGTGGCTATTGGTGCTGATCTTGAACTAAAGGTGAGCTGAATTTTTTTTTTTTATAATAAGCCATTTTTCAGCTTAAGCCCAAGTTTGAAATCGATTCAGTGTTCTAATTCTTAAAGAATATGTTGCTACTAAGATTATATACTGTAAGTATTAATATGTATGGCTTGATAGTGGGACTGTCAGACAGTAGCTTTCACATTTCTATCCTAAAAAAGATAAGAGTTCAGATCCCTGGTTTTAGTCCTGGTATGATGTCCTAAGTCTCATGAGTACCAGCTCTCATGAGTACCTGGCTCAAGATAGGGAAATTAAAGGTGGCTGGGTATATACCTCTGAACACTCTAATTTTACATGCAAATGTCACAGAAACAGGTGAATTTTAATTCAACTGCTATATTGGCTGTCTGTTTTAGTCAATGATTAATTTTTTCATATTACAGAAAGTTGTTAAAAATATTATTTATTTAATTTCTAGGTAAATGGAACAGCATGGATGTGGATTTTTAGACACAAGGAAGCTGAATTTAACTTTTAATGAAGAATTTAAATGATGATTGTCCATGAAAAGAAATATTAATCATATACATTGTAATGCTGTATTGATGCATCTTCTGTTTTAAGTAATTAAAAAATTATCCATTTATGAAATTCTTTTCATTTTTTGTTTTCAATTTTAAAACTGTAGTTCTGTTTTGTTATTTGAAAACAATGATGAAAGTATACTGAACTGCCATTGAGATATTAATATAAATGCTATTGTTTATAGTTTAATTCTTTCAGAAGCAACTATATTGACATCAAAACTGAATCTTTATTGTACACTAAGTATAAAAGCTTACCCGCAAACCAGTCCATGTCAACAATTTATTGACATTCAAACATTAAATTTTTTTAAAGGTGATTTTTCTTAAATAAAACAGACTACTTTCATATGGGATAAGAAACATTTAATTTTGAAATTGATTGGTTTATTAAATTTTAATGGAGCTGAAACTAAAACACTGGGTACAAATTTATTATTACTTTGTTTCTCAGAAAATTGCAAATTTTGAACATAAGAACTGTGGGAAGTAGGCAATGATGTTAAAATATCTCTTGAAACTTGAAGAAATTGTGGAAGGTTTAGAGATAGAAAACATTTCAGAAGATGATGTTTGAAATAATGGTAAAATATCTTTAGCAATTGTCACTGAATAAATATTTTCATTAGACAAATCACATTTAGATATAGAAGAATAAGGTATGTCTTCAGATTTTCTTATCAGCGGAGATCCTGGGTGATTCTCTTTGTTACCATCGGTCAAACGACAAGCCAATTCTGGAAAATTCATTGGGTTCTTTGCCTGGGCAGCTAAATATATTTAAATTAAGTTCATGCAAGGCTTTAGAAACATCAATTGGATAAAACTCTATAATGTCATTAACTTTTTATTAATATCAACTCCAAAGGAATAATATAAACAAGTTACACATCATCAATAAATCAAATTTGCAGATATTTCCATTTCACCAAACTTTCTCTAAGTCATAATATATATTTTAAATTCATGGCATTTTGTTAGGCTAGATATGTTGACTTTTATTTACCACAATAATCTGATTATATAAATTAGGATTACCCAGCTATCATACATTCTTCTTTTTACTGCCCTCCTTTATGAGGGGGAGGTAAAAATCATCATAAAATGTGTGATGCAATTTGCAGATGAACCCTCTCTCTCTCTCTACCCCTCCCCCTATATATATATATGAATATCTACATAATCTCTAAAATCATGTTGGTACCTCTACCTGTTTGAATGTTAGGCCCATTTCCTTAAACTGTTTCTGTGTGGATCTTCTCCATGGGGGGTCATCTATAAATGACGTCACGCATTTTTTTGACGATTTTTACCCCCCCCCCCCCTCCCCTACACATCGTCACAAAAAGCCAGACCCCCAACCCCTAAAATGACGTCACACAGTACTAGATTCTAGATCTAAATTACTACAGTTGCCTACACTCTAGATTTAGTTCTTAAGTTCTACAACAAGACTACACTAAACTTCGCTAGATCTAGAATAATCTAGATTCTATATATAAATTGATATTGAACATATTCTAGTCTACCTGTCTTAAAGTAAATAGCCTATTTAGTAATTTAGTAATTAATTCCACTCAACTACACTGTAAAATAAAAGAAACTAGATCTACTCTTGAGTCTATAAATTAAAAATAAATCCTGTGTGTCGTATGTTACTGTCTAAGTCGGAATTTTCAAGAGGGTTTTTTTTTAAGTCATAGATCTAGATATAGAATTCTAGATCTAGAAATCTAGACTCTAGATCTTGGCTATATATATTTATTAATTAAATTAGGCTTGATTTCAAATTTACGATTGAAATCTTTTAGGCCTATAAATATCATATTTTATATAGATTATAGATGTATTATTATTATACAGGTTGTATTCTAGATCTATCTAGATCTATATAAAATATAATATATTTGTGTGCGTGTGTGTGTTATTTTAAACTTAATTTACTTAAAACAACTTATTGTCGGAGTTTTTTTTATTCCAAAAACGAAAGTAGATTTCATAACTTAAAAAAAAAAATAAAAAAATATTCACATTTGGTTTGAAAAAACAAAAAAACGCCAGCTGGCAACTACCGGAGCGAGAACTTGGTAAGCTACTTTAACAACTTACAAGCCCAATAGCCCGAGTTCCCATCCCCTGTTATTTTATATAAGAATATTCGAGAAAGTTTAGGGGAGATCACTCCCGGTTTATTTTTCTAATCAAGATGTAATTTACATGATGTTTTTGTTTAAAATCACAAGTTTTACGGTAGTAATTTCCATGACGTTCTTGTTTAAAATCACAAGTTTTACGGTACTAATTTCCATGACGTTCTTGTTTAAAATCACAAGTTTTACCGTAGTAATTTCCATGACGTTCTTGTTTAAAATCACAAGTTTTACGGTAGTAGCCTGTGTCGTGGTATGACGGGATGGAGGCCTAGAATCACTATATAAAACCAGAATTGGCGGTCTAAGGAAATTTTGTACAACATTATAAATGGTACGGTGGTTACAAATAAATGTTATATTTTCGTATTGCATAATCCCTTACATTACATTTTTTCTTTATGTGTGTTATAATCAGCACCATCAAATAAATAAGTTAATATAAACCATTAGTCTACAATATAACCAACCCTAAATACTAACTTAAACCCGAACCCTTGTGTATATACTGTATATCCAATCTAAAATCCCGTTCTTGCTTGTATCAAAGCTACATTCTAAATATAGCAGTACCAGATCCAGGAAGCATACAACACAGCCACAACATCCACATGTACTTAATTGATTTGTACATACTATTTCTTTTCAGAGTTTTTTACATACATTTCTCCGTGCGCACGTTTTATTTTATAATTCACTGGTATAATAGAACACAGCATTCACCTATTTACTTAGCGTTTTTTGCCTCTAACATTTGGATATATTAATATAGAAAAGTGCAAATTATACTCTTCGTGATGTCTGCCGAAAAAAACATTGTGTAGACTTATCGGGTTTTATAGAGCGGAAGTCAGAACAGGGATTCTCAAGTGCATTCGAAACATCAAACCCAATTTAATTTTTTAGCGATCCTGTGTATATATATATATATATATATATATATATATATATATATATATATATATATATATATATATATATATATATATATATATATATATATATATATAGGGGTAAAGCTTAAATAATAATAATAAAATGATACAAACATATATTGTAAATTGTGAGCATTTTGAATCGCTAATTTTTGTAACTGTTAGGGATAATCATAGTAGTAAAATTAGTTTGTAAAAAAACGGCACATCTACTACACACACAATTCATCCACCTGTAAGATATAAAACTACACCTTACCTGTCAAACAGTCCCACGCCTGAATCTCCCAGATCTCAAGATGACCCTCGCCGTATCTGTCCACTCAGATACACGTCCACAGCAGGTTAGTGGCGGACACTTACGTACACTGCCTGCCGATTAGATTCCTAAACCGTTCAAAACCCGGCGGATAGAAATGAGGACGTCAATTCTTTATCTTTTCAATGTTTGTTTGCCTAGGAATATTGAGAAGTAGTCACTGTTATCAATCTAAATGTAGAGGCGGAAGTCTAATTCGAATTATGGGGGTGGTGGGGGGTCTATCCTGCGTGTACAGCCACTTGGGTTACACCTCTGATAAATATTATTCAATCGAATTTGACGTAAACACCGTCTATTAAATGGTTAATTTACTATCATATGATCCTATCTTCGTTTCATACATTATTCAATTGAAAATATGTTGATACTTTTTTAATTTTCAGAACACCATAAACATTTTTGAAATTAAAAAAAAGGTTTACGCTGATAGACATGAATATTACAATGTGATACGTTTCGGACATTTTTAAACGTGGTTGGGTAGTAGAGCGAGCGTGTGCTTGCTAAATGTCCAGAATTCGAACACTACGGTAGATATAGTTCGTAAGCTAGGGATAGCAACGCATCTAGGAGAGAAAGTTCCAAAATCAAACAACTTCAGCCATGCAGATTGTTCATGATTGATTAAGGCAGGTCTAGAAGAGAAAAACAAATCTGGCTCAAATCGAAGTCAACCCGCCAGAAATTGCGCTTAGGGGTCATCCATAAATGACGTCACACTCGTAAGGGGGAGGGGGGGGGGGCGTAATTTTGTGACGATGTGTGATGAGGGGGAGGGGGGGGGGGGGTCAGATGTTGCGAAGTCACATTTTTGCATTATAAAAAAGCAATGTTAGAAAACGAGTTTTAGACGTTATTTCGCGTTTTAGATAACTGTTTTAATAAATTGTAATAGTTTAGACAAGATTTTGGAAAAATATCGATGTTTAAAAAAAATTCAACTGCAATTTTGAGGGGTGTTGTAGGTTGAGGTGTAACGTCATTTTAGGGGGGGGGTCTGGCTTTTTGTGACGACGTGTGACGGAGGGGAGGGGTGGGGAGGTAAAAATCGTCAAAAAAAGCGTGACGTCATTTATGGATGATCCTTTTAAAACAACGACGCTTAATGCTTTATAATGTTGGAGAAAAATCACCTTTCTTATTTAAGTTCGATGAAGAAGAAGACATCACGGAAAGAAAAAATTCTTTTTTTTTTGTTTTTCTAAAAATTAGAATTTAGACATTTTTATGTTACAAACAAGTGATTAGATTTTTCGCGCTAACAGTTTAGAATTGGACCTTTTTAGGCCCAAAATCATGCAGTATATTTGTTCATTGACACTAATAATTTCGGATCATGGTTCGAGTTTGTTTTGTTAATTTCACAAATTGAAATGGTCGATTTCAGTGTTTTTATGGGTATGTTCTTCATCACTAATACAACACAGTAGATAGGTCGTTACACAACAAGATAGTTTGGTGATTGGAAGTCGATAGTCTCACAGTTTCTTTCAGATTTTTTTTCTCCGGAAGGGGGGGGGGGGGGAGACGGACTAAACTTTCTGGGGATAGGACTGGTAAAAATATAAACTTTCTAAATAAATTCTATTTCGGTCGGGGGGGGGGTGACTTTTAGACTTTCTCGGGGGGGGGGGGGGGGGGGGGGGGGTTGGTGGACCCGAAGAAATGCCTGGAAAAACTCTGGAGAGTATAGCTCACTGACGACAAACATATACAATAAAGTTTATCGACATGGACATTTTATTAGCTAAAATCTATTTTAAAGTTAAATTAAAGAAAAGAAAAAAAATCCCAGCTTTTTGTGAATGTATTAAATTAAAAAAATTTAAAACTAAGTTTTTAAAGTTTAATCAGCTTTGATAAACGGTAACGGACATCTGAAACAACAGGGGTCAAACTAAAAGTCCACAACAAGATAATGTACTTAGTGGACAGACCACGTTGTTGGAGTTCAAAGGTCATTGGCTAGTACGCAATTAGTGGTTATCAGGTCTCAGTGACGTACCTATCAACTACCTAACTAATGATTTTAATTAATGAATACATTTCAAATTCGGGATGAGATGCAGAAATCAATTACGATCTCACCGGCCTGCATACATGTTTAAAGTGTTGCTTTGTAATGTTTTTTTCTGAATTGTTCATACTCTTCTGTGTTACATATCTGCAACATTGTGTCCTTTCAAAACCACCACCCTTCCCATTTAAAAAAAAAAAAAATCTTTGTACGGTCTCATCTGAAAAAAAAACAACAACACATAACTGTCACAAAAACTAAACCATAAATGGAAGTCTTTTAAATAAAACATATTTATTGAGCGAGTATTTTACTTTCCTTGAAACATCTGAACAAAACATACAATGTATAAATTAAACATTGCAGCTCAGCATTAAATACACAATCTCAATTTTAAAAAATAAATGCCAACAATCTTTAAAAAATGTCAAGTTTACAGTTCATACACAAGTAGTCGTGGAGTTCAAAAGTTGAAAAAATAATTTGAAATGGCATTTTCTGATTCAAGTAATACCTGAGGTACAGTTAATTAAAATCCTCAGTGGTTTAATTTTCTTGACAAAATAAAACCCACTGAAGATTTTTGATACATGTAACCACATTTTTAAAAAAATGAGATTTCATCCCACATATTGTAAAAGTACAACGACACAATGCTCGCCGTTTTTTCGGATTTCAAATTGTATAACTCGACAAGACCGTTTGGATAAGGCACACGATCATCGACTGCATAATCATCGAACACACAATCATGGACTACATACTGATCGAACACACAATCATCGAGTACATAATCACTATACACACAATCATTGAACAAACAATCACCCAGCACACAATCATCCAGCACACAATCATCCAGCACAATATTCCAACACACAATCAACCAGCACACAATCATCCAGCACACAATCATCCAGCACACAATCATCCAGCACACAATCATCCAGCTCACAATCATCTAGCACACAATCATCCAGCTCACAATCATCCAGCACGAAATCATCCAGCTCACAATCATCCAGCATACAATCATCCAGCACACAATCATCCAGCACACAATCATCCAGCACACAATCATCCAACACACAATCATCCAGCACACAATCATCCAACACAAAAACATCCAACACACAAACATCCAACACACAATCATCCAGTACACAATCATCCAGTACACAATCATCCAACACACAATCATCCAAAACACAATCATGCAACACACAATCATCCAGCACACAATCATCCAGCACACAATCATCCAGCACACACTCGTACAGCAATTAATGCTGAAGTAAACAATCCTAGAGTGCACATGATTGAGTATTTAGTCAGGAAAGTGTCCGATAGCGGCTTGAGTTCAAAGGTCAGCTGATTAGGTGGACGTGACCTCTCTCACCCGGCGAACCCGTTCGTCCAGGTCAACATACCGCTTCATGACATCATCGGTTTGTGCGTACACTGTGCACGTGCCCCACGTGTCAAACGGACATGCGCGGTAGTGGTGGAGAGTTGCTTCCTCTGGGGTTAGTATTGTTCTGAGAAAAAGAAAATCAAGAAGACTTTGGTAAATTACATATTAGGTAAACAGGTTAGGTAGCATTGTCTTGGCATCTTGGGATTAGGAATGTTCGGTTCTGAGACATTTTGTCATGAGCCATAATGTCGAATGATGTTTGTCTGACATACTGACTCGATAATTTGTTATTTTTTTAAACTGAAAAGCCCACTGTCATAAGCTCTTTTTTGGGTAGCTTTATAGTCGAGAGTTGCTTCAATTGTCGCTCTAAAAGCCTGGGTCGTTTTGTAAGAGGCCATATTGAAGCGAGTCCTACTTACCCAGTGTAATAACTTTTGGGAAAAAACTCGTGCGTCAATGACGTGTAGACTCTGCTAGGCAAATAGACATATTTATAGCACTCCCATCTTGGTGGTGTGGCTTTCCTAAAGGGAAATAATAGTAGAAGTAGAGTGGAAAAAATTCATTAACTAAAATTAAGATGTAGGTTGTATTTAAATAGTTTGAGGTTAAATTCCTTTGCAGTAAATATATTTGTTACTGCCGCAATAAGTTAAAAGAAAATAATTGAGGTGGTGATGCGGGCGGGGTGAGTCATTATTTTGGGCTAGTCTAATGTGCGTTATTTGTCTGAAAATATATTACATACTAGCTCAGCCCAAATATATGTTTTGCCTTCGATTTGAGGTGTACTTTTACTGACTTATAGTGTCTTTGAACTAAGTGCAGCAATATGACTAGTACAGAGGGTCACCGTACCTACACAATGACTTATCCATGCAGTGTCTTAAAACTAAGTGTTTTACTTGTGTAATAACTTACCTGTACAGTGATTTACTTGTATAATAACTTACCTGTACAGTGTTTTACTTGTATAATAACTTACCTGTACAGTGTTTTACTTGTATAGTAACTTACCTGTACAGTGTTTTACTAGTATAATTTACCTGTACATTGTTTTACTTTTATAATAATTTACCTGTACAGTGCTTCTCACGGAGACGCCTTATTAGCACGGTGCATTACATTAGTACAGTACATTAGCTTACATATACAATATATTAGCTGTACAGTGGTTTACCTGTGTATTGACTCACCTGTACCGTTTGACCATGAGATTTTCCTCCGGGTTGGTCGGCTCCCAGGTGGTCAAGAAAAACTGGGTGAAGAAGTAGAAGCCCGCGGACTGGGGGTGTTGCTTCCTCTTGTCCTGGCAGGGGGGGGGGAGGGGGGGGGGGGGGGAAAGAGAAAAGGAAGGAAACACAGGGCAATTAAAATTATAGCATCTGTCTTGAGAAAAATATATCATCTATCTGGTCAAAGATACAGCTTTTATTGTGGCAAAAATATAACAACTATCAGGACAAAATATAACATCAGGACAAGCATATAACATCTAATTCTAATAGGACAAAAATATAACATCTATCAGGATAAAAATATAACTACTATCAGGGCAAAAGTGTAACTTCTATCATGACTAATTTTGGCTGATTTCTTTGACTAAAATGCCTTCTTAAATATAATGTTTGTTGGAAGTAAAAGAAATTTTAAGAACTATATATATATATATATATATATATATATATATATATATATATATATATATATATATATATATATATATGTATATATATTTATATATATTTTTTTTAAAAAGCTCTAATTTTATCGGGAATTTCCGTTACAATTGTTCTGATAAAATTTCTAGGTAAACTTGCAAAAAAGCAAGGGAAGTAACTAAAATTAAGTTATTTAAATTTACATACAACAGTAGTTTGTCCCTGAGCAAAATATTCAAACATGAGTTCATTTGTGTAAAATATATTGCATTTATTTAAATTCATACGCATCGGGGGAAAAAATGGTGGGGAGGGGATGGACCAATAACAGCTTCTGTCATGGAGGTGTTAGTGTATCTGGGAGGTGCTTTTGACTGATGGAAAAAGTTTACTGATGTCGATACAGTGGATATATGGATACAGTGGACTGATGGACACAGTTTAAATATGGATACAGTGGACTGATGGACACAGTTTAAATATGGAGATAGTGGACTGATGGACACAGTCGACTGATGGACACAATTGACATATAGACACAGTGGACATGTGGACAGACAGGACCTATAGACACAATTGTGAGTGGACACGGTGGATCATTGAACAGAATGGACCGATTGACATGCTGGACTTATAGACACTGGACCTTTGGACACCGTGGGCATATGAACATATAGACAAAGTGGTTAAGTAGACGCAGTTGATTGATTATTATTAGTGGGAAAAGCTTAACAGTGTGTAGAGAGCAACATTCTATCTAGGCCTACTGCCGAGCAGTCAAGATAACAGCTTTACTTACAAATTATGAATGTTAAGACCCCGAACTTTACCAACAAGGTGCTGATAGCAGTAGGCATTTTAAGAATCAAAACAAAGGAGATAGTCTGTGACAAACTGACAAGTTAGTAAAGCAACTGACAAAGTAGGAAATATTTTGGTATGACGGGACATGTTTATGTTTACAAATGTCGAAGTATCGTAGCTGTTTAAAAATGATAGAATTTTAAAGGTATTACAGTAATGTTTAAAGTTTTTGTTTGTTTGTTTGTTGGTATCGTAAGGTTGGGGTAATGATTATTTTATGGACTTGGATAGGGTCAAGTTCAGAGTCTAAGATAAACTTTATTCTACAGAAACAGCACGCGGAAGAAAAATACTTTATTGATTACACTTTGCTACCGTTTTTAAGTAAAAATAAAGAATAAACCGGGAGTGATCTCCCCTAAACTTTCTCGAATATTCTTATATAAAATAACAGGGGATGGAAACTCGGGCTATAGACATGATTTTTAATCCATTTTAAATACTTAAAGTTTTAAAAATAGAATAAAATCTCGTAGACAAATTAATTGCACACCAAGTGAACGCAAATAAAAAAAGCGCGTAATAGTGCGCAATATTATTAGTACTTTTAAAATTTACATTAGTTTTTTGGGAAATCGGAAGTAGCGTAAATTACTACTTCCAGTCAACGGAAATTACTCAAAATTTAACAGAAGGTAGAGAATTAGATCTTTTACTTACATGTGAAATTTCATTTATCTATCTGAAATAGTACTCAAGTTATAGGCTTTTAAAAAATTCAAAGTAGGAAAAGTACCACTTCCGGTTATCGGAAATCGCTCAAAAGTTGATACGGATCTACGATTTTGATAAAATACTTATATATGAAATTTCATCAACCTAGCTGTAACGGTATTCAAGTTATCGTGTTTACACACGGACAGACACACACACAGACAGACACACACACACACAGACATACGGACAAGATTGCAAAATTATGTTTTTCCGTATCAGTGAGGTGTAAAACGTCGAGATTTGTAAAAATCTCGATTTTTTTTTTTGCACGATTACAATACTTTCTCTATACTACGTATATACGAGAAAGTAAAAACAACACACAAACATATTAAATATTGTGTCCAACAGGAAAAAAAAACACGGAGGAAAAATTATGTCACGCCAACCTGCAAAAATTGTTTCAGCGTCACTTCCTGTCTGGGAACAATCATCTCGTCCACGTCATGACTGATGACGTAGTCGTACCCCGCCATTCTCTGCCGACACTCCAGCACCGCCATCGTCTCGTCCTGGATGAACTGTCTCGTCCTCTTCAACGGTTCCTGGAGCGACCGGCCCTTCGGCTCGCCTGGAAGTTCATACGGCTGCCGGTCTAGGATACCCTGGCGCTGGTAGTGCTCGAACAAGCGGTTGAGGCTCGCGGGATTTCCCATGTCGTAGATCAAAATCTTATCCACGCCTAAAATTTTCTGGAGCTCGAACCACTCGATGACCTTGATGGGGTCGAGGCCGCCGCTGTGGGCGATTTTGGCGCACAGGGCGAGCTGGCCGCGGTGTCTCTTGGGATACTGCACGGGCAGGTAGTCTTTGAGGTCCGTGGAGCACTGACCTTTAGAGGTCAAGGTCACTCGACTCGGCGCGACGCCTTCCGTCAAAACAGGCGCCCGGCAGCTGAACTGTCTTGCTACGTAAAAAGTCGGTTCGAAGTATTCCTTGAACCTATCCTTCAGTTTCATCTTCGTCACGTAATACCGGAAGTACACTCGAGCGGATATGACGTAAACCATCTCCAGGTTCTGGTACAGCACGCAGCAATCGTAGCTCACGCGAGATTTGTCCAGTGTCGTCACCACAATCTCGACGGCGTCGCCGAGGGGGTAGCTGTCGTTAGCCGCACCCGCCCCGCCCTCGGGCTGCCCGGAGCTGCTGCCCCAGGCAGAGTACATGTAGATTTCCCCGTCCCTCCCCTTCACGAAATGTTTCACTGACGTGTCACGTGGTGGTAGCTCCAAGGATTTCCATTTGATGAATCTCCCCTGGGGTTGAGAAATAAAGAAATTTTTTGTAATTAAAAATTAAAACGGTACAGGGGTGGAATGGCCCGTCGGTCTACCGGGGGAAAATCCCGGCTGGTCCACAGGAAAAAAATCTCGGTGGGTCCCCATGAACGATAGTGTAATTGTCCTATCAGTTTCTTCCAGGCATATCTTCGGGAGGGTGGGGGGTCCGAAGAAAGTCTAACTCCCCCCCCCCCCCTCCCGAACGAAGTGGAATTTATATAGAAAACATATACTTTTATCAGTGTCCGCCCCACCCCCCGGAAATTGTTGTGCCCCCCCCCCTAAATATCAAAATATCTTCCCCGGAGAAAAAAGTCTGAAAGAAACACTGGTTCTATTAGAGTTTTTATTTTATTTTTTTATTTATTGTTTGTATTTTGCTATCCAATGGACCAAGGCGAACAACTCAGGCTTCTATGGAGAAAAATAACACAGTGAACATCTCAACCTGGGATTGCGAGCCCTCTTTAAAAAATTTCCGGGACTCTAGGACACAGCCGGTCCACCCCTGCATTGGTATTGAATATAATCGTTCATATAAATTAGAATAAAAAACATACTACTTCGGTATAATGTCCAAGGACATTCACACTCCCACCGAAAATATGCCTAAAAAATTAGATATGTAAATGTTATTGGATATTGAGCGAATGGATGGAATATGATCAAATGGTAAAATAGTTGTTTAATTATTATTTAAAAATGCATAAATTAAAACTGCCTTTATTTTTTTAAAAATGCGCATATAATTTGTTAGTGAGCTTATTTACTAAGGTGGCTGAATTAATAACATTAATCATGAAATCATGATATCCACAAAATCAACACCATCTAACCTTTTTCGTTCCTTGCGGAGCATAGCGCCGCCTGATGTATAACATAGTCGGATTTGTATCATGGTGGGATTTGTTTTCTCTTCACTAATTAAAATCAAAGAACGCATTAAAAAAAACCTACCCTGGGAAACAAGACGGTGAGAACCCAATACACGCTGATAACGGTCACGATGACCAGGCAGACACGTGACCGGTTCCGTGTGCAGCTTTTAAGATTCATCCACCGTTTTCTGGTGACCATGGTGAGCAGTGAGTGGACGGTCTCATCTCTCACACATCTCTCCGGCACCCTCAGTGTATCTGGTAAATCTGAAACGCACAGTTCGTTTGATCAATATTTAATTAACTTTAAGGGGTCATCCATTTATGACGTCCACAAAACTGACTTTTGTGGACGCATATGGACTTGTATAAGGAAAAAAAGTGGATTTTTGTGGATGGGGGGCAGGGGGGTCCAAAGTTTTAAAAAATGTGGACGTCATAAATGGATGACACCTAATTCCATGAGGAACGTAAGCAGCATCAGAAAATTGTAAAAGATTAGGGGGGGGGGGGGGTGGTGACATGAAAACAGGTAGCAAGCAAAATAAGATAAATGTTGAATTTTTATTAGCGAGTTACTTCCCATTTGAAATTTCTAAACAATCAAGGGAACAAACCTTCAAATAGATTCCCAAAACGTTTTAAGATATAGATACATTCAATGTGGAATAAAGTAATAAACGGTTCTTAACTTTGGCACATTTTTTTATAATGATTTTAAAATTATTTATCATTTATTAATTTTAGAATTATCTGTTGTCTCCATAATAAACAATAAACGTTTGACAGTATTACATAAACAGTTTGTATTTGCATGAACATGCATCTTAATACGATTTTTAGATATAATTTTAATATTAATGAGCTTGTTCAGAATACATTTTTTCTTCTTTTTTACTTTCTCGTATACGAAGTATAGAAAAAGTATTGTAATCGTGCTAAAATGAATTCCAAATATCGACGTTTTACAACTCCCTGAGTCAGAAAAAAGATTGTTTTGCAATCTTGTCCGTACGTCTGTATGTGTATGTGTGTCTGTGTCTGTGAACTCGATAACTTGAGTACGTTATAGCTAAGTTGATGAAATTTCATATGCAAGTATCATATCAAATTTGTAGTTCTGTATCAGCTTTTCAGCTATTTCCGATAGCCGGAAGTGGAACTTATTCTACTTTCAATTTTTCAAAAGCTTATAACTTGAGTACAGTTCAGACAGATAAATGTAATTTCACATGACAGTAAAAGATCTAATTCTCCACCTTCTATCAAATTTTGAATAGTTTCCGTTGATCGGACGTAGTAATTTACGCTATTTCCGATTTCTCAAAAAACGCATGTGAATATATAAAGTATTAATAATATTCCGCACTATTATACACATTTTGTATTATTTTTTCTATGAGATCACTCCCTCCTTTGTAAATATGTAAAAAATACTCTATACGAGGACTGCTATTGATATAGCTGAAATGGAAGAATCTTTGATTTTTCTCTATATATCGTCCTTCCTGCTTATAATTTTATGATATTATTTTCCTTTGGTCAAAAATTTATTTTAGCTCCAGTTATAAGCTCATGGCCTCAACGCCAGAAAAAAAATGCTTCACGGAAGATTGAATCTCCATTTAATTTAACACACTTAAATTTTCAAGTTTAGAAATATTATTGAAATGAGACGTTTTGTATTATCTATTAGTTAACTATCTTCAGTGAATGAAACACCATGTAAGAAAGAAGTATTACTATTTAAAATCTGTATCAGTCCTCACAAGTCACAAGCCGATACTGAAACAAATGTAAATACTAAAGCCAGCATCTCAAGGCAAAAAAAAAAAAAAAAAAAAAAAAAAAAAAAAAAAAAACCCAAATAAAATCGTTTGTACTTCCACATTACTCAACACAACGCACAATCATCTATAGTTGCACATTAGTCAGTATTACGCACAGTCCTCTGTAGTAGTACATTTCTCAACATTACGCACATTTATCTAACAAATTACTCAACACTACGCACAGTCCTCTATAGTTGCACATTTTTTAACACTACGCAGCCCAGGTGCATATTGCTCAAAATTACGCACATTCCTCTATAGTTGAACATGAATTACGCACAATCCTCATGCACATTACTCTCAACACTACGCACAATCCTCTGTAGTTTCACATTACTCTACACTACGCACAATGTTCTATAGTTGCACATTACTAAACACTACGCAGTCCTGTTGCACATTGCACAACGTTCCGCACAGTCCTCTACAGTTGCACATTACTCAGCATTGTGCTCAATCCTCATGAAAATAAATCAGCATTACGCACAATCCTATGGAGTTGCACATAACTCAACATTACGCACAATCCTATGGAGTTGCACATAACTCAAAACTATTTACAGTCCTCTAGATATACTCACTACTCACATTGCTAAAATGTATTCGACGTTCGCACATTACTAACCACAATCCGCTGTTCGCCTACGTCACAGCACCAACAATATTGATCGCAGCGGCTAGCCCGAGACATGCGCAGTAGACGATGTTTTTTTTTAGGGACTCATCAGCTGGTCGGCGTGCCCCTCCCTCCCTTGGTGTGTGAGTGGGGCAGGCAGTTCTAAAAATAGATCACACTATCGCAGGAAGTGTGCATGCTTGTGTGTGTGGGGGGTGAGGGTGAGGTGGGGTGGGGTGTCATTTGGACGATCACAGGGTAAAGATTGAAAGATAATGTATTGGCGAAATCGTTTTCAGATAATGGACCTCCGATAATTTGAATGTGTTAGGATGCTAGTATGATCGATATTTTAATCAACTTCGTGGTAATCGAAAAAGGCTTTGTTAAGGGTCATCTATAATATAAACGACTGCGCTTGTTAAACAAGTTAATAAAAAGTCTAGTGACAATTTAAGCGCAATTTCCTTAATTAATTTTTTGTGACCGAACGAAAGGATATTTTTGAAAACTTTCTTCGGCAATATTGTTCTAAATTATGGGAGGAATCGATTGGTAAATGTTTCAAGTCTCTAAGTGGTCTGGTTGCAGAATTATGGGCCAACGAAGCAATATCGAGGACTAGTTCCAAAAGCAAATATGTTAAGCAAGTTCCGAGAATGATTGTGGGCCAAAAAAATTCCCGGAATTCCTTCCTGGATTTCCCGGAAAAGCCAAAAAACCTCGAAAAAATGCAGTTTTTGGCCCATATCTCGGCAACCAGACCACTTAGCGACTTGAAATATTTACCAATCGATTCCTGTCATAATTTAGAACAATATTGCCGAAGAAAGTTTTCAAAAATATCCTTTCGTTCGGTCACAAAATTTTTTTAAAAATTACATAAACACCTACAAACCGATCGTTCTCCTTGCTTGAACGCACCCCAGCATTATACGTCTATCAATTTTTAGATAGCATAAGGAAATTGCGCTTAAATTGTCACTAGACATTTTATTAACTTGTTTCTTTATTGCAACCGTTTTAAAGTAAAGAGCTATGTTTAACACAAACATAAGGCACTACTTCTAATGTTTTGGCTGTCGTCCCTTAAAATGGCCTCACTTTATCGATTAGAAAAACCTATACATACTAATCGTGTTATTTATTACATACACAGTATAGACCTATACTTAGTTTTTTAAATATTTACCATATATTAGTTGTTTTCCAATCTTAATTAGGATGTTTCCTTAACTTTGAGAAGCAACTATAAATTATAGAACGAACATTGTTCAAACAAATATGCTTGAAGGCCTTAACACAATTTTTTCCACATGTATACCCACTTACCCATCGTAACACGGCGATTTAAATGACAAGAGGATGTGGTATACGTTATTGATTTCCCCCTCAGTACAATCAAACAATCTCTAGATAGCTAATAGGGCAATAACAGAGGCGTAGCTACCCAGGCAGGCGCCCTGGGCGAACTATCAACATTGCGCCCGCCCGTCGTGGTCCCCCATATTCAAACATAGTTACAGTCATCCCTTATATATCGCGGTTAAGAGGGATCAGACCCGGGCGCGATAAGTGAAAAAAAACGCGAAGTAATGTCCCCCTCTCATTTTTAACATGCGTAAATTTTTCTGTATGTTTAATATAAACAAGTGTATATGAAACTGTTTAAGTGCATATGTTATCATTAGACCATTAAAGAATACAAATATTAATACAATATTAATAGTATGAAGAAAATAAGAAATGTTACTTTGTGTAACATGTTGATGTAGGCCTTTTTAAAGTGAACACACGTTTTAGAACTCTTTTATTCTTATAAAAGCATTTCTTTTATAACAAGGTACATAACTCACATCTGCCAATAGATTATCTTCTCTTGATTTTAATAAATGTTGATTTTAAAAAAAATGTGCTATACATCTCATGTCATACGTTTTCTTCTACCCCATTTAGCTCGGAATAGTCCGCATGCCTATGCTCAGCCGACTGTGAATAAGGTCGCCTTACATTTTATTCGCTCCAAATAGCATACAGCACTTAGGAATGTTACAGATTTCTCTACCCTCCCTCCATCTCAAGCGAAGGCGCCCACTATCACGTAATGTACGCTAACAAGGCCTATTTATACTCTAAAAACATAAACAAAAATGGCGGTCGTTACCAATAATAGTAAAGGCTATATTGCTATCTTAAAGATTACATTCTTGTTTTGTTTATCGGAACTTTAACCTGTACATCTATGTTTGGTTTTACCTTTAATTTACACTTGTACACATATAATTCATCACACTGGTAATATTAGAACTTTAGGCCTAGATTTTAAAAATGTACTCGATCTTACCTTAATATTTCTCTCGCCAAACACCCAGCTACACATCACCTACAAGCATCACGTGTCACAGACATACAGACGTATGTTTTGATCAGCACATTCGCCAGACAGGCGAGCGAGCACAAACAAAAGTAAAAACCAACAATGCGATCCGGCGCACAGCAGGGGACATAACACACCAAACACACCTGCGTAGTGTGGTAGTGCGTCGTCTTTTGTCAACAGGAACCATCCGTGACCTGACCTTGCCTATACCAGTACCTGTCCACAGGTGTTTTTGTTTTTTAATCATTTTTTTAAACATGCGTTATCTGTTTGATGACAGTGGCATGTAGTGGCTAAAGACGATTAAGACAATTAGCTTGTGAGATAATAACACACAAACGAGTCCTATCGCACACAGTGGGGTGGGGTAGCAAGGAAAGGTGGTGGGAGTTGACAAGGGGGGGGGACATATGTCCCCGGGCGCCGACCTTAGGGGGCGCCAAAATGGGTTGGAAAAATAAATTGAAAGGTTGAGGGGGGTGCAAATTGAAAGTTTGAGGGGGGTGGGTGCAAATCGAAAGTTTAAGGGGGTGGTGCAAATCGAAAAGTTTGTCCCCGGGCGCCGGGAAGGGTCGCTACGCCTCTGGAGTGGAGAGGGGGGGGGGGGGTGCACAAAAATATCAAGCAAAAAATTCAGAGATAAAATTTCTTTTACCTCAAACAAATATCTATCTATATATATAATTCTCCTCTTCGAGCCGTTAGAAAACAAGCTGCAAACGCTCTCCCTACCTCCCCACCCCTACATGGTTTTAGTGAGCTGTGTTCACTCTAAATGTTTACAAGCAGAGCCAACGATTTTAAACGTATGGGGGGGGGGGAGGGGGGGAAGGAAGGGGGGGGGGGGTTATGGTCCTTAACGAGCTACTTATAGTGTTTTAAAGAAATATTTTCAGTGTCAGCGTTGGTACTGTCGAATTCACAAATTATGAATTACTGAAAAGTAGAAAAAACAACAACTAAATAGCGGCATATGTTATGCCGCGGGCCGGCTCGTTATATTTAAAGAACGCGTTTTAGTCAACGAAACCAGCCAAAATTATCTCATGATAGTTGTATATTTTTATCCTGATAGATGTTATATTTTTGTCGTATTAGAATTATATGTTATATTTTTTCCTGATGTTAATTTTTTTTTCAGATGTTATATGTTTTTCGTATTAGAATTAGATGTATTTTTGTCCTGATGTTATATTTTGTCCTATTAGAAATTGAGAAATATTAGAAAGAGATTGCTTATAAGTATTCTGAGAAGTAAACTACTAGTAGACTATATATTTGATGAAACGGTTTAATTAAATGAATTTAATTACAATTTTGCAATCGTTAAATGTTAGTTTTGTCATTTTCTTTCCTTAGAACTTAGAGCGATAGAACACAGACTAAAAGTAGCAAATTGAAGTGCTTATTATAATTCATAAATACCACAAGTGAAAAGGAGGGGGGGGGGGGGGGCGACGACTGAAGTTATCTCTTCCACACCTTGTTAAGAGCCAGTGCAGAGAGGAAGGGACACAAATCTTATCTAACTTCTGATAATAAACATGCGAAAACCTATAATTTATAGCGCAATATTGATGTTTTATGTTGAAAAAAGTAATTGTAGCCACTGTATACATTTCATGATACTGAAGCGTTGAAAAAGTAAACAACTGTAGATTTTGTGTGTAATTTTAGATGTAATGTATGTCGGATTCTCAATTGTTTTTTAATGAAGTGATTGTTCATTCTTCTTCTTCGTTCTCAGTTTTTAGTGTTGGAAGGGATCGAGCCTTATCTGCCATAGCTTTTTGACGACTCGACCACGCCTCCTCCATCACAATTAAGGATTACGTGTCAACTGGTTATGCGCCATTGAGGCCATTGACTCCAATTGCAGCCTGCTTTACTTTATTTTTGTCCAAACAAGAACAGCAGTTGTTTGATTTTGTTGTCTCTCCAGCTAACGAGCCTCATCTGCCAGAGGGTTCGAACTCGAGACTTTTCGGTTTAGCAACCATGAGCTTTACCGACTCGACCACGCCGGCCCCAGCAATGTTATTGTTACATGTCGGCTAATGTCGGGTTTTCATTTTACTATAAGCCTATAACTTGAGTACTATTTCAGATAGATAAATGAAAATTTCACATGTAAGTAAAAGATCTAATTCTTCGCCTTCGTTAAAATTTTGTATAATTTCTGTTGACCGGAAGTAGTAATTTACGCTATTTACGATTGCTTAAAAAATGCATGTAAATTTATAAAATACTAAAAATATTCTTCACTATTTAGGTAGATAATCTAACCCACAAAATATACGCAACAAATGCGCACGTATGTACCTGATTCTTCATTTACTTGTGACTGTTAGTGGGACATAAAATAAAATATTTGCATCATGTATCGGGCTATATGGCGCATGACACGTTCACACCTAATACATAACAATGCTTTAGGGAGTCTCCTTCATTATTAAATTGAGGACGAAGAAGAAGTAACACGTGTGGTTAATGTGAACCCACCTTAACAAGACGGCATTTGATGTGCACCAGTACACCTTATAACCCTGGTCTAACCGTCACATCACCCCCCGTACTTTACCTGAAGTCTCTACCAGTGTCTCAATTAAATCACTGACGCCTGACGCATTTCATCTATTGACCTTAAGATGCATCTCAATGGCTTGGCTACAGATTTTAGCGCTTGTGGGAAGGGGAGGGAATGTTAACGCTAAATTTTTTCCCCACATCTACTATAAGGGCACCTCCACACTCAATCTTCAGAGCCCTCTTTACACTTGTAACCGTAGAATCTATTCAATAATTAAATGTCCCATCCATTGTGTTCCGCCCAGTCACCCCACCACAGTAACGCCGCTGTAGACGGCTTTCCTACAAGCGGAGTTGACACAGTGGGGGTACACACACAGTTAAACTTTGACCCAGCTAAGCTTGACTAATCAAATTCCTAAAGAGGGAACACGCGAAACAATCGCTACTACTACCACCATATCAAAGTCAAAGAATTCCCCTAATGCACCCTTTATATCTCTCTAATGCCTTTTTGCTTTGTCAAACCCGAATGTTGCCCCTATATTTTTCCTTGATGCCCTCTCATACTTCCTTGATGCCCCTCTCATACTTCCTTGATGCCCCTCTCATACTTCATTGATGCCCCTCTCATACTTCATTGATGCCCCTCTCATACTTCCTTGATGCCCCTCTCATACTTCCTTGATGCCCCTCTCATACTTCCTTGATGCCCCTCTCATACTTCATTGATGCCCCTCTCATACTTTATTATGCCCCTCTCATACTTCCTTGATGCCCCTCTCATACTTCCTTGATGCCCCTCTCATACTTCATTGATGCCCCTCTCATACTTCATTGATGCCCCTCTCATACTTCCTTGATGCCCCTCTCATACTTCATTGATGCCCCTCTCATACTTCCTTGATGCCCCTCTCATACTTCCTTGATGCCCCTCTCATACTTCCTTGATGCCCCTCTCATACTTCATTGATGCCCCTCTCATACTTCATTGATGCCCCTCTCATACTTCCTTGATGCCCCTCTCATACTTCATTGATGCCCCTCTCATACTTCATTGATGCCCCTCTCATACTTCATTGATGCCCCTCTCATACTTCCTTGATGCCCCTCTCATACTTCATTGATGCCCCTCTCATACTTCATTGATGCCCCTCTCATACTTCATTGATGCCCCTCTCATACTTCATTGATGCCCCTCTCATACTTCATTGATGCCCCTCTCATACTTCATTGATGCCCCTCTCATACTTCATTGATGCCCCTCTCATACTTCATTGATGCCCCTCTCATACTTCCTTGATGCCCCTCTCATACTTTATTATGCCCCTCTCATACTTTCTTGATGCCCCTCTCATACTTCCTTGATGCCCCTCTCATACTTCCTTGATGCCCCTCTCATACTTTATTATGCCCCTCTCATACTTCATTGATGCCCCTCTCATACTTCCTTGATGCCCCCCTCATAGTTGCCTGCTGTCCTCTCATACTTTGCTGCCTCTCATAACCCCTCTGCGCCCCTTTCATGGTTCTCAATGCTCCTCTCATACTGCTTGACACACCTCATTCCCCACAGAAGCCCACTATAGCACCTCCCCTCCTATCACATCCACTAAAACTGTTCAATAGAAAATACTCTTATGTTTACCATTTTACCATGCTATAAGTAAACTTATTGAATACCTGTATCATAAAGTTTGGTGGCAGGACGTTAAGTACACAGTAGGCTGGGGCGGAACTACAGTGCCGCCAGACCCCGCAATGCGGGGGGGGGGGGGGGGGCACGCCATTTAGGGGCCCAGAGCCGACCATAATACATTTTTTATAGTTAAAAAAAAGTAAATTTTCTTTCATTTTTGACTTGATGGTTGTTTTGTAAAAAATTACCGTAGCTGCGGTTTGATTATATTTATTCTATAGACACCAGCCCAAGCTCTTGTATATTCTTTTTCCCTTTGTTTTTAAACCACTGTGAAAGCCGAGTCTTTCTCCTACAATTAAACTTATAAAAGATAAGCAAATGTTCAAACCACTTCCATGACTTATTTCCCTTTTTTTTAAAAATAGTTAAATAGGGGTGATCATAAACTTCTTTTAAAAGATTTGTATTAAACAAATTAAAAAGCAATTACTTCTCTTAATTATTATTTTTTATAAGTAATTACTAAAGAATGACATTATATAAAAAGGAAATGTATTAAATCAATAATACTTAAAAAATTAGTAATAAAAATACAAAACAAAAATAAAAAAAAGAAACATATCACGAGACACCATTACTTATACAAAGCTTTCATGCCTTATATTATTTTGACCGACTATTAAGAGGCTTATAATAATTATATTAAAAATTAATTCAAACTGATTTTCACAAAACACACATGCTCATACACACATACACACATGCTCATAGGACCCCCCCCCCCATATATATATATATGGGGGGGGTCCTAAAAAATTTTTTGCGGGGTGGCCCTATTTTTCTAGATCCGCCACTGTCAGTAGGTGTGTCAAATATATCACAAAGGCTGTTTTATTTAATTACCCCACGTTAATTATTCACAGACATTCGGTAGCAGTAAAAAAAAAATTGTC